TCAGCCAGCCTGCTGAAGTCCAGGAGGGACCCAGAAGTGAACTCTACCAAAGGGAAAACTAAAAATACTCCCAGGTATTTTAACTGGAGCCTTTGCCCCCATTTCAAAGGCCACAGAAGAGGAGTAGGCAGGACCAGGGGAGGTGGTGGACATCAGGGACAGCCTTCCCATGTCAGACACATGGATGTGCCTTCCCCAGCTCCAGCTGTCAGCAAGAGTGTGCTGGCAGAGCAGCCCCACTGTTCATCACAAGCAGCTCTGCCACCTCTCCCAGCAAAAAGAAGCTCCAGAAAAGTCAGCTGTGGGGCCATGCTGGACCAAAACGTGTGCCTCCCTCCAAGTGAGCACCTCCCAGTAGTGCTGCTGTGGTCAGGGGCAGGTGGGTAAAACCCAGGACCTTTCCCCAAACCCAGAGAGGCTGCCAGCACAGGAGACAGCAAACTGCCCGGGGGGCCTCTCACTTGAGTATGGCCTGGCCTGACACCCACCGGGGCAGAAAATAGCCCAGAGAAGCAAAACCTACTAGAGCTCAGAGAGGAGCCATGGGAACCGCTGCTGTGAGCACTCGATTTTGATGAGAAAAATTACTGTTACGCTCTCAGAGAGGATCACCTTGAGAGGAAGCAGAGCACTTGCTGCAAAGCCCCTTTCTTTCAACTCCCAAGTCTCCTCTCCTTCTTCTCGCTAAAGATCAATTACTGAAAAGGGCAGAGCAGCTGCCTGCCTTTTCCTTTGGCACAGAAAGACGTAGTGCTGTTTTCCCTTTCAATTTCAATTTAATTAACTAAGCCGAGCCTCTCGCTGCCCGTCTCACTGTGAACCCTGCCTGCTGACGCCACGCTTTCTGTCCAGCCCAGGAGCAGCAGGACACACAGAAGGGCATGGCCACTGCAGCGACCTGTGCAGGCCGGCCCACCGGGCAGCTGGTGCAAAGTCCCCCATGGCTCGCTCCGGAGCTGGGGGAAGCCACTGCGGGCGGCTGTGCTGAGAGGCTGGCGAGAGCATCCCTGCTAGGGTTGGGCAGCATCTGCCTGCCCAAGGCACTAATTATGGGACCCTTCCAACGGTCAGATGCTGAACTACCTGGGAAGTCGGAGATGGAAAGGACCTGTCCTCCTTCCCCTCCTGTTACGACCTTTCATGCATGTCCCTCCTGTCTCAAGCTACAGGCTACATCCACAGTGGCATTTAAACTTCTAAAGCGCCAACAGACACCAAGTGGTAAATAAAGTGCTGAAGCAAAAGTCAAGAACTAGAATATCTCTGCAGGCTCCGACTATGAGGTTTTATATGCAAAGAAACAGGCTGGTGATTTTCATACTTTGCAGCTTCATTCTCTGCAGCTTCGCCTCATCCCATTGCTGCCGGCTTCCTTCCCAGACTTATCTCCACCTTCCCAAATATCCTTCACTGGCTCATGCGGCCTTTCTCAGACAGACAGTACCAGAGCCAGCAGCCATCTTCCACTGCACATCACCCCCTCCCAGTTCCCACCATCTTTACAACATCGCAGTATCCTGTAATGGCTGCAATACATTTGGAGCAAAATGTCATAATATCTTGCTACTCCGCTGCTACCATCTCTTCTGTGTAGACGATCTACAATTACACCTGCTCATCTTAATGCCATTTACACTACTAATGTACGCTCACAGCCACTGTCTGTTGTCACCCCTAGCCTCCCGTAGACCCCCCCGCTCTGGGCTGGCTGTAGCTCAGGTGTAACACGGAGCACCCCAGCATCCAGCTCCGCAGGGGCGAGGAAAGAACAGCAACGGAGCAGGAGGGAGAGCACCATAGAAATGAGCTCAAACAGGGAAGGGAATGTATGAGCCTATGCTACAGCAAACCCATCAGTTAAAAACCACAGAAAACGCATAATTTCAGTTCACTGGATTATGATCCCAAAAATCCAAGGATAAAAGGAAGGAGCACTTAATGCATGAAAAAAGAGCAAGAATTCTCCTTTGCTGGCAGAACAGACACTAGGAAAAAAACCTAAACATATTCTCATGCCCGCCTCCACAGGCTCAGAGGTTTTGGCTGGGACAATCCCTTCAATTCCTCCAGCAGCCCCAGCCGCGAGCAGGGCAAGCTGACACCGTGCTGCTGCCGGGGGTGGCAGGGAGCAGGCGCATGGCGGGCCAGCTGGGGGGCTGCGGTGCATTTGCAACATCCTCTCTTCCATAAGAGGATGAAGCTCCCTGTGCGATGCTGGCAGGCACGGTGGCGGCACGGACCCTGCCTGCAGAGGTGTCCATAAAAGGGAACCCTAGGCAGAGCCCCCAGCCACGCAGCCCAGCCGTGCGCGGGAGGAGATACCTCTGCCCAGAGCTGCCAAGGACCTTGAGGCTCAGTGCTAGCTCCCAGCCTGGCAGAGAGCCCTGGCGATTTCTCAGCGCACCTCGAATACACCGAGGGAAGCTCAGGGGGACACAGACATACCCCAGCACCAGCTTTGGGGGCCAGTCTCTCTCCAGCACCCTCCAGCCCCCCAGAAGCCCACACCATGGGAGGGACCTCGCACCCCCAGCATTCAACTGAGCTTCTTGGGGGGACTACTTCTTCCCAGAAGCAAGGCTTAAAAATCCTAGTGGCAAGGCTGTTCCCTATATGCTTGGCATAATCTGCAAACAAATAGACATTGCCACTCCCCAACACCACATTCACCTCAAGAGTGTTGTCAGGAGCTGTGGGTACTGAGGAAGAAACAGGACAGGCAACACTGTCTCGTGCGGCCCCAGGAGGTGACCCGGCTGGGGACATCCCAGCCATCAGTGGTCCCGGTTGCTCCTGGCATGTTTGATGGATTTAAAGTTGCAGAAGGAGAGATCTCTGCTGAAGAAGCACCCGTGGCACTGCTTACCTGGCAGCACCACCTTTATCCCCACGGCATTGGATGTGGCGGGGGGGCGCGGCGGCCTCCCGCCG